CTGGCGCCGCCATCTTTTTTGACGAAAAAGTGCTTCCGGTGAGGTCACCGGAAGCACTTTTTCGTCAAAAAAAGATGGCGGCGCCCAGTTGATGCCGGTACCGGGCCGCGGCGCCCAGCTGATGCCGGTACCGGGCCGCGGCGTCAAAAAGGTTGGGGATCACTGCTTTAGAGTCTCTCTCCAAAGCGAGTTTGCTTTGCCTCGTAAAATAAAAATAAAATAAAATGAATTTGGAGGGTGCGGGGGGTCCCCGCAGTCACATGACCCCACAAACAGACATAAATGCAGGTTGCCCGAGATGCAAGTATGTTTTGCTGGAGATCCGACATAATTTCCAACGATCCTTAAGTACCTGCTGAAAGTCGACCATCTGTATTTAAAAAGGGGTGCGAAGGCCTAGCGGTTAAGATACTGGGCTGTTGACCAGAAGGGTTGGCAGTTCGAGAACTGAGCACCACCTTATGGGGTGAGCTCCCGTTCCTTGCCTCAGCTTCTGCCGGGCCTATGACAAGCCGCCACAACCAACTCGCTGCAGGACAACTAGCCATGGCCAACTTGCCAGGGGACAGCGCGCCAGTGGCCAAAAGTTTCACTAATATCGAAGAAATAGTGGAACGGAATCATTAAAGAAAGGATGCCAAAGGAGGGAACAGAATGAAACGTGAACGACAAAAATGAAAGGCAAATTTTGCAGTTATTTTAACTTAATTAAATTGAATGCTTGAATTCTCCCGTGGCAAGTTGGTGGTGGTGAGTTGTCCTGTTCCGGCTGCTGCCACCTAGCAGTTCGAAAGCATGCAAATCTGAGTAGATGAATAGGTACCACTCAGGGGTGGGATCCCAAATTGCATGCAACCGGTTCTGCGCACTTCACGCGCGCGCACACACACTTCAAAGCACAGCGCTCAAAGATCCCTTCACACACACGCAGCACTCAAAGATCATTTCGCGCACATGTGCAGCACTCAAAGATTGCCCTCCATGAGGTGAGCTGTTTTTTAGCTCAGCTGAGGCGCGGCAAAGATCACTTCACACACACGCAGCCCTCAAGGATCACTTTGTGCACACGCATAGCCCTCAAGGATGACTTCACATGCACGCACAGCACTCAATCGCTTTGCACACACGCGCAGCACTCTAATATCGCTCTCGGTGAGGTGAGCTGTTTTTTAGCTCAGCTGAGACGCGGCAGCTGAGGTAAAAATCAATGGAATATAGGACAGAAAAGGGCGGGGGAGGGGGTCCAGTCAGAGGTGGTATTTGCCGGTTCTCCAAACTGGTCAAAATTTTTGCTACCGGTACAACAGAACCGGTCCGAACCGGCTGAATATCACTTCTGGTACCACTTAGGAGATAGCAGCTTTCAGTGTGCCCCAGTGTAGAGTTCATCCTGGCCACAAGACCATGGAAATGTTTTTGGACAATGCTGGCTCCCTCGGCCAAGATCATTCTGATAATCAGAGTTGGAAGGGACCTTGTAGGTCATCTAGTCCAACCCCAAGAATCGGAGATGAGCACAAACACACACACACACACACAACCAGAGTCGTACACAACCGGACAGGGGAAATCTTGACCTTTCATCCAAATAGACGCTGGGAGCTTTTCTCAAGTCCTTTCTCTCTCGTTTTCTTTTTGCCCCCTTGACTCCAGCCCTCTCGAACCCCTTGCAAGTACTTGCAGCTCAGGCTAGTTCCTCCACCCCCGTGGTCATCAGCCAGACAAGAGAAGCCGGGATGAAAGATCCCGACGAGCTTTTGAGAGAACCCGATATCAAACGACCCCGAATCGAAGACCCCAGAGTGGTCGCGGCCTTGCAAACTGGCGTCATCACCTCCACGGCCCCCTCGGGACAATCTGCTGGAGAATGAGGCCGCAGGAAGATCAGAAGTGGCACCCGAGGCGCATGAGGGAGAGAAAAAATCTCTCTCTTTTTTTGTTTTGTTTTGTTTTTTGTTTTCCTAGCAGAACTCTTTTCTTTCTGCAGCTACTTAACACCTGGATCATTTCAGTGGGTTTCTTCCCCCCCCCCCTTTTTTTTTTTTTTTTAATCTCCTTTTGAACATTTGGAAGGACGGGGCAGCGTTTGTCAGGAATGTCGAGGTGCCAAATGAATTGGGCAAAATTTTTTCGATCTTTCTGGACCCAAGGAATGAATTTTCCTTCTGTTTTTCTCTTCAGAGATGTCTTCTTTCTTTCTTTTCTTTCTTTCTTTCTTTCTTTCGAGATTTTTAAAAAAGAGAGACACAGACCATTTTGATTGTTTGGGATATTTCTCTATCCCTCCTGGCCTTCCTTAATTTTCACCCCTTCCTCGTTTTTCCTTTTTACGCATGGTAGTTTATGTGCGAGCATACTAAAAATGCAGGACAGAGACACGAACTTCAGGTGGGAACATCTGACCTCAAAAACAGGTTTATTTTTATTTTTTTTGTTTTTCACTCTCCAAGGAAGAGGAGTGCATCCTGTTTTGTATCTCAGAACTCCAACTGATGAAAAATTTATCTGCAAAAAAAAAAAAAAAATTACTTGCAAAGCAATATCATACTTCGGTAACTGCCACCTAAAACGGCGGATACGTGTTTATATTTCCTTTGTATTGCCTACCTGCAGTCCAGTTCACCTGACAATGGGGTGTCATACCCTTACCCAAAATCTTGATCCCAGAGCACAGTAAAATTAGTTTATCCCAGTTAGATGGCTTCCAAATGGCACTCGAAGCCTAAATTTCCCAGAATTCTTAGCCTACTGGACAGATGGGGGGGGGGAATTCTGGGTATTGCAGTCACAGCCTACCTCATTGGGATGGCTGACCTACACAGCACTTGGCTCCACAGGTGCCTTTTGGAGAAAGAGAGAAAAGTTTTATTTTAATTGTTGTCTGTTGAATAAAAACAGCCAATGGTGATTCAAAAAGGTCCGAAATTTGTGGATCTTTTAAAGAATTGTCGTACCTGCAGGCTTGTAAAACAACCGTGTGGGTTCCTTAATTTCATTCCTGTTGATTTTTGACAGAGAAGGAATAGAATTTTTAAAATATTTTTAACCTTTAAAGGATAGTTCCCGGGAGAGCTCTGTTGTGTTACGGTTCGAGCGTTGGACTTTCGTCTAGAGAGAACCAGGTTTAAAAGCATGAAACTCTCTGGATAAACCTTGGACCAGCCATTGTTTTGTTTCAGCTTAACCTACCTCACAGGGTTGTTGTGAGGACAAAGAGGGAGGGGTGAGGAGAGCTATGTATGCCACCTTGAGCTTGGAGGAAAGGCAGAATACATAAATAAACAAAACCCCGTAATAAATCAGTAACTATCAACGTGTCAGGTCACACAATCCCTTGTCTCACTTCAAAGCGTAGGCTTTTGTGTGTGTGTGTGTGTGTGTGTATGTGTGAGATGAACAAGATAGAACGGAATCTCGATCCATTTTCCTCTGGTAAGTTTTGCAAGCTGGTAATCCTAGCAGTGATCTCTAAGGGCAGGTTTGGGACCGCCCCAGATAAGGACGGATGCAAAATTGAAGGTGAAATGGAAGTTCACGAGTTCAGAGGGTTCCAGTAAGATAAAATTAAATAAAAGAGCTGTTAATATTTCAAGAATGCAGGCCTCCTCCTTTCATCTGACTTCAGCAGCCCTTTGAGACTTAAAAAATGCTCCCCTGATGAACATCATGGAAGAAAAGAAATAGCGGGGAAAGATTTTAATTACTGTGGGTTGATCTGAATGTCTTCTCTGCCCTTTTCTTTTAAGCTACATTAAACTACATTGGTTTGCGTTTTCCCTTTGCAAATAATCATAACCCTGAAGCTGTGGTTGTGCGAAATGTAAAGTAGACTGTCTTATCAAAAAACCCAATTCCTTCCAAACCCATCACCACCCCAAAAACCCCACATCTCTGCATATGTCACCCCAGAAAGTACTAAGGACAGGTGCTAACCATCACAAAGTTGAGAAGACTGGTGTTTCATCTTAACACCAATGCTGGATAAGTCCAGGGAGATGTTTTGCACAGGAGATTCTTATGCTCAGGATCGTGTTGTCGTCTTTCTTCCCTGACCTGAGATCCTGCATAATTACGTCAATGGATACCGACCTGCAAATAAACCCTAGTTTCCTTTAACCAGGGTTTGTTCAACAGGCAGATCCAGCTGGGTTGGAGATGCTTCTGGAAGGGTCAAGTTGTGCTGGATCTTTTTGTTTTCAAAAGCCCTCATGAATTGATTTCATGTCACTACAAGATCTTATTTTGATAATATTTGTTTACTTACTTTGGCTTTTGAAGCCAAGCAAAAGGCATGTCTGCGTGTGTGTGTGAGAGAGAGAGAGAGAGAGAGTGGCCTTTTTGGCTTTCTTCGAACAGTTGAGTCTTTAGGATCACCTCCAGACCTGACATTTGGAAACCCATTTTAAAGCAGATAACTTGGAAATGAATCCCTGCATATAAGGGAGCTGTTTTCTAAGAGTAAATATTTTTCTCCAAATGTCGACAGCAAGGTTCTTTGTACCTTGGTGTATATTTTGTTCCTTTTTCCACCTGCACATAAAGAAAGGGTAACTTTCTAGCTTTTTCTCTCCTCCCCACGCCTGCATTTTAACATTTTCATTTACAGGTCCTGCATTTTAACATTTTCATTTACAGGTCGTTCGTCACCACTTAATAGGTTTGCGGATTCCTGCCGTGTTGGTGATAACCCAGTTTTCATTTTTAATTGCCAAATGCCCTGGGTCGGAGTTCTTGAATTAATGACACAGTCAATTTCAACCAAAATGTAAATGCCTCTGCTCTGATGCTCAAAAGAATAATGTGTTTGTGTAACAGAGCATTTACCCAGGCTGAATTTTAAAGGTTGACCCAGAAACAGACTGGGGCTTCCAAACCCGCTTGTACAAGCATTTCCCCCCCTCCCCCACTCTTGATTTCCATATCAAAAACATGTTTTAATAACGTCAGGGCAGAAAACTGACAGGTGACGACTTGCTGAATCGAATTTGCATCAAGTTGGCAAAACAAACTTGAGTTTATCTCAAGTGAGAGCAAAGTTGTGTGGAATTCAATTTGCCCTTCTGACTTCTGAACTGAAAAACTAAGCATTGTGATGTCTATGGTAGAAGTTGTAGTGGAATACAGATAGTCCTTCTTAACGACCACAATGGAGTCCCAAATTTCTGTTAAGTGAGACCATTGTTAAGTGAGCTTTGTCCCATTTTATGACTTTTCTTGCCACTGTGGTTAAGCGAACCAATGCAGTTGTCTAGTCATACAATTTTTGAGTGAATCTGGCTTCTCCGTTGATGTGGCTTGGGACACTGCAACCATCATAAATATGAGTCACTTGCCCAGCGTCTGAATTTGGAGCACCTGATCCTTTATGCAACGGTCATAAGTGTGAAAAAACGGTCATAAGTCACATTTTTCAATGCCATAACTTTGAACGGTCACTATCATTAAGTACAAAAGATTCATGCACAGGTATAAAAAGCAGTTGGCAGGGAAAAGTGGGCAGGATTTGATGGGTTTTTACTAATTGTTCCACTGGCTAGGACCCGGTGGTTAAATTATTGACTGAATTGGGATATTGCACAAAGCCTTGATTTTAACCAAGCACATGAATGTCGCCATAGTTTACAAAACCAGAGTGCTCTTATTTTTGTATGGCACATCATATTTGTCCTTCTTTAAAATGTTCTGTTGGGGCAGCTGCGTTCCAAGACATAGCTGGGCATCCAGACAAAAGCCAAATTTGATTTAACTGACCTTGAAATGTAACTAAAATTAGCTTCAATTAAATGCAGTTAATGTAATTCCCGCCCGCCGTGTTAATAATTTCCTTCTTTCATGCTGAGAGGGATAAACTGGGAATAACCAAGACTTGGGGGAGCAGGGGCAGTTTTAGGAACCCGGTTTCTTCATGCCTGGTTTGGGCTAACTCCATTGTGTGAATCCCATATTGTTGCCATTTGTTAGGCTAACCATGGTTAGAACTAATGACAGAAGGGTGTATAAAGCAAACCCTGATCTCGGTATCATGGTGGTTGTGATAAAATTTAAGGAACGGAACCATGGCTATCAACTTGTTAGGGAAAAGGCAATTTAAAAGCATAATAAGAGCAGATTTGCCAACTTGGGAAGTGAATAAGAAATAATTATTTAAAGGTGGATGCAGTGAGTGGAAAGGAATGCTCTTTAGGCTACTCAGATCCTTCAACCTACCCACTTTCAGCAAAATTGGTGAATAATAATTAAATTTATATGCCACCCTACTTCCACTAGCAGCTAAGTTGATCTTAGCCAAGTCAACTGCAGCAGCTACCCCAGAGAAACAATATTTATGCAATTCCATTTACCATGTTGCTGGAACAAGATTCTTGTGAATAAATAGAAAGGTCTCAAATCATTTTGAACTATGGTTTGTTTGTTTGTTTTTTTAAGAAAAAAAGATCAGATTTTTTTAGACAACCCTCTTCCTAGGTTCTTGATGTACTGTACTGGGAGGAATTTCTGCACGGTGGGGAAAAAACCCCAGTAGTAAATTCTACGCAGTGTCAAGTCACTTCCAAAACAGCCCATTTCTAGAAAGCATGCTTTGCATTTATACTGCCGTATAAATTCCTGGAAGAAGGGTTGGAAAGAGACGGGAACAAAATATTCATGGGGAAAAAAAATAGCCCAATATATCTCTTGGTAAGAAGTATTAGCATTTTTTTTTAAAGGATCAATTTTCCCAGCATTTTTTTTTAATTCCAGATGTATAATGGAAAAATACTTCTGGTGATTTTTTATTCTTGATCAGCATTCACAAAAGTTGAGCAGCTGTCAAGGCTCCCATGATTTCAACATCCAGGAAGAGAAGGGAGAGGCAGAGCTGATACAATCCATCTGGCTTGAAGAGAACCTCTCCTTGGAACTGAATTCAGCAGTCCATTTACAATAATCTGTGATGACCCGGAGTGTAACACAAACGTAACAAAATCCAAAACGTAAATAAATGTCCTTTAATGCCTCCAATTTGGTCCCACTGTTCAATAATTCTCAGTTGGAGATAAAACGTATTCAAAAATAAGTCTTCAAAAGAAAGCAATACAGACCGAACTTAATGAGCAGATAGAGATGAAATAAAAAACTAAAACAAACTACAATGAAGGAATTTCCACAACGGACCAGGATAAGTAAATCACCAACTTCAAGGAGATAAGAAGGCACGGTCTGTTGGAAGGACGCCAACCATGATAACTTCAGCCCAAAATAACACACACTTTGACTCTGTAAACCACTTAGAGAGGGTTGTAAAAGCACTGTGAAGTGGTATTTAAGTCTGAGTGCTCTTGCTATTCTGGTGAATCTTCAAACTTGATTTTTATTTTTAGTGGAATCTTCAACTGGGGACTTCATCACATGAGCAGCTTTGTGTTTATTGGTAAATTTATGTTTTAAGCTTGCCTGTTGTTATAGAGTTCCTGTCATTGCACAGGGTTGGGTAGCACATCTATAGAAATCCAGATTTAGATTAGATTAGATTAGATTAACAGAGTTGGAAGGGACCTTGTAAGTCATCTAGTCCAACCACCTGCCCAAGCAGGAGACTATTACATTTCTGACAAATGGCATCCAATATCTTCTTGAAATCCTCCACTGATGAAGCTTCCAACTTCTGAAGGCAACTTCTGTTCCATTGGTGGATTGTTCAGATTTGCTGGAGTATATAAGCATGGCCAGTTGTGACTGATGTGAGTTTCTAAAACAGCCACGGATTACTTGTCTGGCAAAAATAATAAATCTCTGGACATCAGTCTAAATTTCAGCTGTTAGATGCCGGAGAGGAAATAGAACAAATGGGCAAATACATTTTTTTAGGCTGTTATCCTGGGCACACTTTTACCAGGGAGTAACATTACTGAATATATTTTTCTGAATATTATATTTAGTACTAACAAAAATTTATTTCTAATGTTAGATGCAGTATGACTGTAGAACACTAACCCACCCCCCAAGATAGCTCAGGAAATACAGGTTGTGTCTTGGTTGACTTTTCTACTTGAGGTTCAAATTGAGAGCACAATTGTTATAAAAAATAAATAAAAGGAAAAAAATACAAAAGATTAAAACCAAATCAGTGAAAACTAAAGAGTCAGTTTGTGTCCAAAAGCTTATTGCTTTTCTACTGTTTTCAGGAACATGGGTTACACTAATTTTAAATGTAGCGTAGAGAGGCAATAAAATGTTTTGAGCAGGGATGTCATTTGGATTACAAGCTGCCCGTCAGCTGAATGAACTCTCTGTCGCCCCAGAAGAAGCAGTCCTGTTTGAGGCATGCTGCATTCAGAAGGTTAATTAAAATGACTGGCTGGGTGAGAAGGAAAAAATCACATTAGCTGAACAGGGCTGGCTAGGCTAAAGCCATTGACAAGCTTTTAAAAAGCAATTTCATGTAAGCAACACCTGCAGAAGAGGCACTGAGAATCATCTACGGAAAGCAAAATAGTCGGAAGCTAAACTTTAATAATCATTATTTTAGCTACTAGATGCAGAATAGAGTAAGAGTTGGAAGGGACCTTGGAGGTCTTCTAGTCCAACCCCCTGCGCAGACAGGAAACTCTACACCAGTTAATTATTGTGCATTATTATTAAATTTCATGTTTCAAAAATGTAGCTGAGTTCACTCGATGCACTAGGATGAAATAATGGCAACTCATCTAGTAGTGAGTGAATCCTGTAAATATAGTGTTCTCCTTCACATAGTGATTAATTTTGATCTGGAAGTTGCAAGGAGCTATTTACCCATTTGGTGGAAGAAAGCTTTGTTCCTTCCAATTTGATCCTCATTTAACAACAGAAATTGAGACGGGCAATAAAGTGAAACTGCTACAAAGTGAAACCACTGGGGTGGGTTACAAGCAGGTAGCTGAATTTAGGAGACGGCGTTGCCATTCACTACTTAACCACTGGAGTGCATTGCAAGTTAGACTAAGCTTGGAGGAAACGAGGCTTTGGGGCATTTTCCCCAAATGATTTCCCAGTTCTGGGGTTCCCAGCTTGGACTGAATGCCTACGAACTCTGAGGACTTGATTCTTTCAGGTGTTTTTATTTTCCAAACAAGAGTCAAAGAAGAGAGCCTCAACCATGATTCTCTAACTTGGCTGGGCTGGGTTTCCATTTCTCAGGTTGGGTTGTCCATGCAGAGTTAGGATAGCCCAGCCAGTGGTATTTATGGCTGGTTGCTATGGGGACCTGTGTCATAAAATTCCAACGCAACCAGGGAGAGGTTCCCTTTATTTGCCCCACTGAAGTACACTTGTAAATAGTTGAACAGTGTTGAGGGAATTAGTTGTTTAGCAGAGTGATGGCTTTCGGGGAAAAACTGTCCTTGTGTCTAGTTGTTCTGGTGTGCAGAAAAGTCCACCTTCCCTTTTGAGGGAAGGAGTTGAAATAGTTTATGTCTGGGATGTGAGGGGGTCTGTAAATATTGTCACAGCCCTCTTTTTGTTCTTGGTTCAAGGCAGCAAATTCAAGAGTGCACAGAGAGAGAGAGAGAGAGAGGGAGAAGGGGGGGGAGTTCTGTCTCTATTTGCTTCACCCAAATGGATCCCTCCTCTCTTTTCTTGCCATCAGAGGGCTTGATTGCAATCTCTTTGTACTATTCTGCTCCACGTTTCTGCTTCTGCTTGCATACTTCTTCTCATTACAGATAGTTGAACTCAACATGAAAGATTGAGTTGTACAGAGGAATTATTGAGTCTGTCATCTGCACCTCTATAACTATCTGGTTTGGTTCTGCAACCCAACAGGACAGACACAGACTCCAGAGAGTAATTGGAACGGCAGAAAAAACCATTACTATCAACCTGCCTTCAATGGAGGACCTATACACTGCATGAGTCAAAAAGAGGGCTGTGAAAATATCTACAGACCCCTCACATCCTGGACATAAACTGCTTCAACTCCCACCCTCAAAACGACGCTATAGAGCACTGCACACCAGAACAACTAGACACAAGGGGAGTTTTTCCCCGAATGCCATCACTCTGCTAAACAAATAATTCCTTCAAGAGTGTCCAACTATTTACAAAGTCTGCACTACTATTACTATTAATCTTCTCATCACTCCTTATCACCCCTCCCCTCCCATTTGTGACGGTAGGACTGTAACTTTGTCACTTGTATCCTTATGATTTATATTGACTGTTTCCTAGTATGATTTGATTACTTATTGTACCCTATGACTATCATTAAATGTTGTACCTGATGATTCTTGACGAATGGATCTTTTCTTTTATGTACACTGAGAGCATTTGCACCAAGACAAATTCCTTGCGTGTCCAATCACACTTGGCCAATAAAGAATTCTGTTCTGTTCTATTCTATTCTATTCTATTCTATTCTATTCTATTCTATTCTAATTTCTATTCTATTCTCTATCCCGTTCCATCCCATCCCATTCTATTTAAATTCTATTCCTATATCCTTCTATTCTAATTGTATCCTATGACTATTATTAAGTGTTGTACCTGATGATTCTTGACTCTTGACGAATATTTTTCTTTTTATATACACTGAGAGCATTTGCACCAAACAAATTCCTTGTGTGTCCAATCACACTTGGCCAATAAATAATTATATTATTACTTTCTCTCTTCTTATCTATCTATCTATCTATCTATCTATCTATCTATCTATCTATCTATCTATCTATCTATCTATCTGATTTGATTGCTTATTGTACCCTATGACTATTAAGTGTTGTACCTTATGATTCTTCACTCTTGAATGCATCTTTATGTACACTGAGAGCATTTGCACCAAGACAAATTCCTTGTGTGTCTAATCACACTTGGCCAATAAAGAATTCTATTCTATTCTATTTTCTATTCTATTGTAATTTCTATTCTATTCTCCATCCCGTTCCATCCCATCCCATTCTAATTAAATTCTATTCCTATATCCTTCTATTCTATTGTACCCTCTGACTATCATTAAGTGTTGCACCTGATGATTCTTGACTGTTGACGAATGTCACTTTGATGTACACTGAGAGCATTTGCATCGAAGACAAATTCCTTGTGTGTCCAATCACACTTGACCAATAAAAGAGTTCTATCTATTCAATATATTATCCAAATTGAGATTTATTTCAGGCATCCTTCTCATATTTATTTTCATATTTATTTATTTATTTATTTATAAATTTATTTATTTATTTATTTATAAATTTATTTATTTATTTATAAATTTATTTATAAATTGAGATTTATTTCAGGCATCCTTCTCATAGATATGACTCGCATTATAAGAAGATTCTTTCGAAGGCATCAATAATCTCATTTTAGTCATGTAGGTAAAAAGAGAATTTCTCCTTCCCCGCTTTCTCCCTTTCCATTGATTTCTTCCTGTTTCTTGGCAAAGCGGCAGCCCAAACTTCACCCGGAACGTTGCCAGCGGGAACCTCGGGTTCAACCCGGGCGGATTTGAGTGGGGGACCCGCCGCGCATGCGCAGAGCCGTCTTTGCCCGGGCTTGAAAATTGTATTGGGGGAGGGGGGTGTTGGATCGGGTCTTTCTTCCTCCTCCTCCTCCTCCCGAGTAGACCCGGCTCTGGGGCGGGATGTATTCGGCGGGGACGGAAAACTTGCTGCGGCAGGCCAGGTAGGAAGAAGAAGAAGAGGGGGCAGAGAGAGAAAGGCGGAAGGTTTGCCTTAAGCCAGCTTTCCCCGTTTGCTTGCTGGCAGTCTAGCCAATCCTAGATTCATCCTGGCTTGTGCAAGTCTCCCTGGCTAGCTGAGCTTTGTCAGGCCGCCCTCCTGGAGCACCCATCCTCTTTTGCCCCAGGGGCTCAGGCTCAATGCTCAGGGAGGGGGTCCTTGGTTCCCCTCTGAGCTGGGTGGCTTCCCTTGCAGACGTTTCGTGACCCAGCTAGGTAACATTATCATGGCTAGGAGGGGGTGGGGATGCCTGGAGGGGAGGAGGAGACCAAGGAGAAGGACTATGGGGTCGCCGATGCTCTCTGAGCTTGCTTGTTTCTTTGCAGACTTTTCATGACCCAACTAGGTAACAACATCAGTGCTAGAAGAGAAAGGGGTTTGTGGGATGGAAGAGGAGAGGAGGAGTAGGAGGATTATGGGGTCCTGGGTGCTCTCTGAACTTGCCTATTTTCTTGCAACTAGTTATCACCATCAGTATTAGAAGGGAGGCAGAGAATCAACCCCACTCCCTTCTAGCACTGATGATGTTACCTAGTTGGGCCATGAAACATCTGCAAGAAAAACAACCAAGCTCAGAGAGCACCAAGGACCCTTCACTTCAACCCTGAGCTACAAATATTCTCCTTTATTGTTCATTGTTCAGTGTCTGGCTTCGCACTCACATCCAAACATAAGCTGAGTTTGCCAGTTGGCTAAGCCCAGCAACAGCCAGCTATGGCCAGCCTCCAAATTACGACAGGGGTAGCTGCCTTCCCAGCATGTCCAGTGGGGGTGCAGCCTTCACATGGCAAGCTAGCCAGGCAGTTTCTGCCAATAGGAAAATGCTTGTTTAGTAGCGGGGGGGGGGGGGGGGGGGGAGAGGCTGGTTTAATCTGGAAAAAATGTACCGTGTGAACCCAGCACTCCAAGCTGGGGAAACAGCCCTGTGGGGGATCACTACTTTGGAAATGCCGGGTGAGATGGACCTTAGCCTCATTGCAACGAGATAGGCAGCAAACAAATCTAATAAACTAATTAAAACTAAAGAAATGAATAAACAAATTATTAATAAATTAACTCAAAGGTTGCAAGATGGTCTTTTGATGCTGGTAGTCATTGCGGGCAGCAATGGAAGTTACCCATTGCATCCTCCGATGAGGGAGAACAGCCGTTTTTAAAATAATTCCCATTATAATGTTTGCCTCTCGCGTTTCTCTGGCTTCCTGTGCTGGTGCCAGATTGCTGCTGGGATCACTTCCTGGTTTCATATAGTTATAGTATTTGTGCGAGGGGAATGTATGTGTGTATGTGCACGCACGCACACTTTTGAGTCAACATTGACTGCCTGCAACTGCCTGGACAAATCCCTGCAGTTTTCTTGGCAAGATTTTCAAAAATAGTTCGGCTTTTTCTTCCCTAGTATACCAGGCTTGTAAATTGAGAACTACCTTTAATTGGCTTTGATCAACATTGGCTTTGAATTGGATCAAACATGGCATTTCTTAACTTGTCAATTCTTCTTTCTTGTTAGAGAGATCCAGGATGACGAATTTAAAAAATTTACTTCTCGGATTTCTGGCTTCCTCCAAAATCAAGATTTTGGAAATGAAACAGTGGATTCCTTGCGAAGACTATTTCTTATTGTCTCCACCACCAAATACAGTCAGAAGTGAGTGAGAAGCAGCAGCTCTGCATAGAATGCGTTATACTTTGTGGAATTTATTTTCGTAAATCAGATTTGCTGATTGATTCTTTTTTTCTTTTGGGGGTTAAGAAAGGAGCCTTTTTTCAATATCTAGCCAACATTCTTTTTAAAAAAAAATTAAATGAATGAAGACAGGCATCTGAAATCAGGAATAAGTGGTCGAGAACAATGGGGGGGGGGATCTAGAAAATACATTGAAAGGACTGCCATTGTAGTTACATTCAGATATGCCTTTTATTCTGGAAGATTTTTTTATGGGGAAACATCAAGTAGATGGCATGTTGTTTAGGCATTTCTGTTTCTTTAAACTTCCTGTTTTTGTTCCTTTGGATGACTTTTCTTGTAGATTGGAGGACAAACTTGTTCAACTTCTGCAAACAACCCTATACCTATCAAAATCTCCTAAGCAAATCCAGATACTTTGCAGTGCCATACTGAGAGAGAGATCAGTTTGTAATGATTTATCTCTGCCTTGGGATAAATTCTGGGACACCAGACTATTGAGTTTAGCTTTCTCCATCATACAATCCCAAGTAAGCAAGGCTTATTATTATTATTATTATTATTATTATTATTATTACTTCTAATTTACTTTTTTTCTCTCAATTGATTTTATCTGAGTGGTCGCTAGAGGTCAAAAGAACAATTTGATTATACAAAATCAACTCTGCTCCAGTTGTCCACTAACTCTTTAACAGCTTTCACTCCTATCGTATGTAATCAAGCAGTAGCAAAACAGCCAAACAGTAATATTGCATAGTAAAATGTGGCCTGTTTCTTTCTTTTCTTTAAAGCTGGTTTTACAATTGTTTTGCGTTTAACCTCTGCCCCCTCCCCCCTTCAGATGTTGGACATGATAAATGCAGGTGTGGAATGGATGTTCTGATTGCTTTCTTTAAGCTCCCCCGTGTGGTGAAAATGGATATTTTTCAAATTCTGGAAATACACACACACACACACACACACACACACACACACACACACACACACAAAACCCTAAAAGAGCCTCATTGGGGTTCTTAATTGGCATGTGACCCCTGAAATATCTCTCCAGAATTCAGATAGCTTTCTGGATTGACCTGATTCAACTCTACTGTCATATATCAAATCGTTGCTTTATCCAAAGTGCGATCAAAGGACAACTGTTGAAGAAATGGGGCAGCATGTAGTGAAAATTCTGGAAGGCCGACTGCCGGAAGATCAGAGTGCACGCCCTCTTCTCCCCATCCTGTCAAAAGTCATCAGTTCTGCACCGCTGAGCCTGAACGAAGGTGAGTATTTGAATTCTAAAACCGTCAGGCAACTTCTCAACCCCCGTCAGTCAGCCTTTCGTTGAGTGGCCGCTTGCCTGGGACTGTCATGCTGCTGTCAGAGTCTGACTCCGAGGAGGAAGCCGGACAGTTGACAGAGAATGGGAGTGTGGCTCCGTTGGCTGGAGGAAACTGAGGAAGGGCAAAGTCTGGCTGGGCAGAGCAGGGGAGAGGTAGAACAAGAGAGAGGGAGTTCAGAGGAAGACCCAGGCCCACCCCCTCTTCATCCTAGGGCACACAGGGAGGAACGGAGAAGGGAGCAACGTGGTTTGTGTGGCTTACGGGGGAGGAAAGGGCCCTGATTCCCTTCATTAGCTGCAGCTGGGAACACAGTATTTAAAAAGGGAAGTTGTGCACAGCAAGTTGTTGGGAGAAAATCGTGAATTATCTGGTATCGTCGAGGCTTATCTGGGTTTCTGGCATCTTCCCAACTGTGTGAGTTTTGCCATGCTTTCAAGTTTGAAATTCTTGCTCCTGCCCTGCCAAACTAATTACTTCAATTTGGCTTGTTTGTACTTTAAGGTACAGTTTATGTTGACCATGTTTTGGACTTAATTATCTGCAGTCAAAGGCTGTTCCTCGGAGCGTTTTTCTCCAGCCAAAAGCTAACCTGGACATTGGGGGCAAAGTTGGAGATAATAAAGGGACTTCTTCTTGATTATTTGACTGTGTTGCTTTTGTGCCACGCCCTTTTGGGTCATCACAGGGACACTTGGACTAAGAATTGTCTGATTTAAAACAAAAAACATTAAGAGTTGAAAATACCGCCTTGCAATCTCTTGAGTTAGGTCTTTCTTTTGGGTTCCTAGACCAGATCAACCTGATCAGCAAAAGGATGGTGGATTGGCTGAGGTACGCCAGCCTTCAGCAAGGAGTGGCCCCAACAACAGGTGGCTTTTTCAATCCAAGAGGAAAACAGGTATTCAACCACGCTTTATGGCCTGTGGACTTCAACTATGCCCACTTCCTGCAACCGTTCTTCATATGTTTTAGTCTCCAGTCCTCTAATCATCCTGGTTGCTCTTCTCTGCACTCTTTGTAGAGTCTCAACATCTTTTTTATAGTGTGGTGACCAAAACTGGATACAGTATTCTAGGTATGGCGTTACTAAGGCTTTATAGAGTAGTATTAGTTGCTCCCTTGATCTTGATTGTTGGGACTCCTCACATTTAAATCTGGAGTTACCGTCCCTGCCTCTTTATTGCTCCCCAAATCCTACCACTTATCCTGCAGCTTTTGCCTTTCTCCTAGCCTGGCCCCATCACCGAGGTGGATGGCACGGTGGCCACCGACTTCTTCACCGTGCTGTCGGTGGGCCAGAATTACACAGAGGACCAGTGGCTCAACATGCAGACTTTTTCCATGCTGAGGAAGTGGCTCTTGTGTTACAGGAGCGATACAACGAGCAATTCAAATTCAGGTGAGCGTTTTTCTTCGGGGGGCCCGTCTGAAAGAGAAATGGGAATTTCCAAATCCATTGCAAGCATTTGGGCTCTTGGGTTCCAGGAAAAAGATGGGCCTTCCTGTCGAAAGGCTGGCAAAATTTCTGGGAATTGAAAGAGAAAAATCCCTCTTGCTTATCTTAAAAACCACCGGAGGTTTTTAAGAAGGCAGGGATCTCAGAGTCTGTAATGTAAATATTGAATTTTTTATTTAAAAAAAGAGCAACTTTTACCCAAAATCAGGCAAGGCAGGCGGGCAGATTGAGTTGCTCACAGAATCACAGATTCACTCAGAGATCTATGATTCTGCAATCTGCTACCTGAGTCTGCACTGAAAAATAGAAGCTTCAGTCCGAAGGAAGATTCAGCTCTGCTTTTAGATTAGCTAGAAAGCAAGAAATCCAACAATTTCCTGTTTTCTAGCTAATCTAAATCTCCCGGCACAGCAGAACAGCTGATGGTTGAGGGGGAGGGGAGAAAAAATTGCAACTTACCAAAAATTAGGCGAAGGCACAAAGCAGGCAAGTTGGATGGCATGGGTGCCAGGTAAGGATTAAATGGGCTGGGAGGAGAGGGGCGGGTCCAGCCAGTGGCACGATTTGCAGGTTCTCTGAACTGCGCAGAATCGTAACAACCGGTTCTGTAGAACCGGTCCGAACCGGTAGAATCCCACCCCTGGCTTCAGGGTTGACATTTGTCCTGGTCTCATCTTGTCTCTTCCCTTACAGACGACAAGTCGGAGGTGGATGGCTCTCTCGTGTCGATGGTCTCCGTCACATCCACCTCGAGTCGCCTCCTTTCTCCAAGGGAGCGCTTGAGAGAAAAGGCCTTTGAGTACTGCCAGCGGCTTCTGGAGCAGAGCAGTCGCCGTGAGTGTAGCCCTTGTCCTAGGCGGCAGGGGGCGGGTATCAGGTACAGGCAGTCCTCGAACTTACAACAGTTTGTTTAGTGACTGTTCAAAGTTACGATGGCCCTTAGATTTCCACTCTTTCCTCTCCTCTTCCTTCTGCGCCAGGCACTGGACCCAGCTGTTCCTCCTGTTCCTCATCAGCCACCTCTTGACTTGGGGGCTGTTGACTCGCCATCTGAGGGCTGACGGACGGCTCAGGCTCCACCTCTGTCTCTGTCTGTGTCCCTCTCTCACAGCTCCATTCCCTCTTCCCCCTTGGAGTTCTAAGGTTGCCTTGATGCTGACCCCTGGCTCCCATGTCTTCTCTGATTTGGCTGCCGGAGGGGCCAACGTCCAACAGGCCACAACAGCATCCTTCCGGCCAGGAGTCTGAACACTGTCCATTTTTTTGTCCTTCAGGGGCTCTGAAGAAAGCAGATGGGGAGCTACAGAAAGCTGTAAGTATCGCTAAGGAATAGGACTCGAGTTTAGCGGGAACCAAGAACTGGACAAGACAGGTGTCAAGCCCGAAATTGACATATGCGTAGCCATTTTATTTAGCCTTATTATATTTTCCTTTTCTGTCTCTTTGCTGATTATGGGGGGAAGGTTTTCGGGCTTGCCACATTCCTAAGGAGGGAGGAGGGGAGATAGAGAGAGTTGTTTAGGCTAGGTGGCTCTCCTTCCCGTGGGAAGGAAAGCTGACCCCGCTGAGACCTGGAGGTGGAGAATGATGACACCAGGCAACCCTTGATTTACTTCTATTGGAGAATGTGACTTTGGGGGGCTGTTTCTAACTTCCAATATTATGTGGTGTAATTCTGGGTTGTGTCAGATCCGGAATGACAACAGACTTTGCCAATTTGATGCTTTCCTAAGTAAAAGAAATTGTTTTGGAAGACGGACTTTGCTCTTTTCTTTTTAAATGGATTTCATCACTTGGAAACCTGACAACGGGGACTTTCGCTCTCCTTTTCCCTCCAGTGTCTCATCGAAGCGGTCACTATTATGGACATCATCTGCCAGCACGACTCTTCTTACGTTTACCGCTCCCTCTCCTGCCTGAAAAACCTTCACGGACGAATCAGCGGAGATCCTTCTTGTGCTCGCGTGCTCATTCCCATCGCCCAGTTTTTTCTAAATCACAGTAAGTCAGGAAGGTTAGATGTTTGCAGTTGGGGACTTTTTTGAAAAAGAATATCTTTGACCCCCCCCCCCCTTTTTTTTTTTTTTGTAATGGTTGAGTTCTTGGAGCAGGGATTTCACATGGGATTTGACGCTTTGCCAGGTGGGAGAGGCAGAGCGTGTGCTGCAAAGAAGAGGGAGCTTAAGAGGGTGATGACCCAAAGGGGCGTGGCACAAAGGCCACCCAGTCAGATAATCAGTAGGAGTCCCTTTATTAGCTTCAACTTTGCCCCCAATGTCCTGGTTACCTTCTGGCTGGAGAAAAACTCTCCCAGCAACAGCCTTGGGCTGCAGGGAATCAAGTCTAAAAGATGGTCAACAGAAACTGTAACTATAAGTCCAATCAAGGCAAAATGAGGTAATTAGTCCAGCAGGGCAGGAGAAGGAATTCCAGACGTGAAGGCACAGCAATAACTCAACACGGTTGGGAAGATGCCAGGAACATATAACCAAAGTCAATACAAGATAAACTCAAGTTTGTTCCCAGCAGATGCCACGCTCAGCATGCATCTCTTTTAAACTCACTTTCCCAGGTGTGGCTAATGAAGGGAATCAGGGCTCTTTCCTCCCCCGTAAGCCACGCAACCTACGTTGCTCCCTTCTCCATTCCTCCCTGCATGCCCTGGGATGAAGGGTGGGTAGGCCTGGTTCTTCCTCTGAACTCCCTCTCCCTTGTTCTACCTCTTCCCTGCTCTGCCCAGCTGGACTTGGCCCAGTTTCCTCCACAGCCAACGGAGCCACACTCCCGCTCCCTGTCAGTCGTTAGTCTTCCTCTTTGGATTCAGACTCCGACAGGGGCATGACAGGGGGTGACTTTCAGGTTGTCCACGCCTGGCATCAGCCTTGGCTGGTGCTTGTGGATTAATTTCAATCAGGATCGAGCTGGGAGGAACCTCAGAGATCTTCTAGTCCAACCCCCTGCTCAAGCAAGAGACCTATACCATAGCTGGCTGTTCAGTCTTTCTTTGAAAACCTCCAGTGATGAAGCACCCACAACTTCTGTTGGCAAGTCGTTCCACTGGTTGATTGTTCTCACAGTTAGAAAGTTTCTCCTTAATTCCAGGTTGCTTCTCTCCTTGATCAGTTTCCATCCTTTGCTTCTTGTCCTGCCTTCTGGTGCTTTGGAGAATAGACTGACCCCCTCTTCTTTGGGGCAGCCCCTCCAATGCTGGAAGACTGCTATCATGTCTCCCCTAGTACTTCCTTTCCCTAGACTGGCCATATCCAGTTCCTGCCACCGTTCTTCGTACGTTTTAGTCTCCAGTCCCCTAATCATCCTGGGTTGCTCTTCTCTGCACTTCTTTTTTGCAGTTCAGCCCCATCTGGAACTGCACAGGTGTGCTTAAACCATTTCTTCGTCAACCAGGTGAGACGGCGGCTGTGGACTCCGAAGCCTTTTTTCAGCATCTCTTCACCAAAGTTCCTGCCCAGCTTTTCCACAACCTCATGCTGGCTTATGAGTTCCTCCAATTCTGCCGGCGGAACGTTGGAGTCTTCACCGAGAATCTCGGCATCTTCCAACAAAGCACCCCAAATCTATTCAAGGTACCAGACCCCGGACTCTTCTGTCCTGAACATTTGACCTCCATGGAGGAGCATCCGCAGGAGGCATTTGCCAGTTTTGACACTTACACACACGTCCTGGGGGTCCTTTTGCCACTATCTAAAGTCCCCTAACTTCCACCTTTCTGCAAGAAGGCCAGAAAAGTTAAGCCCCCCCACCCCTCAAAAAGCATTGCTTACCATAATTTTGGTCTGGGAAACACACTCAAACATTAGCCAAGCTCTTAAGAGTCTTAAGAGTTTTTAAAAACCTTGCAAACCCAAGGAGAAGCAGAAGCTATAAATAACATTGGGGGGAGCAGAGAATTTCCTTTGGGGAATTTCTTTCTCTGTTTCTCTGCATCTGCTCCGCTTTCTTCTCGGAACCTGGATCTCTTTGAGGTCTTCCAAGAAACGGATCCCACGCACAGCTGTTGGACTTGCTTTCCTTTTGCAGTTCCTGGCTTGGAATAGCCCGGCCCTGATCGTGGATTTCGCAGATCTTTTGCCAGCCCTCCTCAGTCCGCAGAACGCCTTGGAGATGTTCCACTTGCTGCTTGACCTTCCCTGCTTAACTGCTGCCCTGGACACCCAGCTGAGGTACCTTGGATGTCGCCAATCAACTTGCAAAAGACCTATTTTGATTCCAGTTCTTGCAATGGAAAAGTCCAAAGAGGTTGCTCATCGTTTAGGTCCAGGCCAGTGGTGGCTAACCTTTTGGGGGCTCCTGTGCTAAAAATTGCACTAGCGCGCATGCATTTGTGTGCCAGCACCCAGAATGCAATGCGCCCCCCCTCCCCACACCCCCTACGCATGCGTGCGCAATCCCCATCCCCTTACCTGCACTGTGCCTCACAGCTGATTTGAGGGGGGTGGGGTTTGAGGCATTTTTCAGCCTCCCAGAGGCTTGAAAAAAGCCTCTGCAAGGCTTTTCAGGACGGATTATAGGCCCGTTTCGTCACTTCCTGTAATACCGGAAGTGACGAAA